ACCCATGAACACCATGTTCTGTCCCACTGTTCTGCTCTTCAGAATTGACAGCAAAGGGGTTTGTTCCTTGTCTGATGAATATTAACCTTTTTTATCTGACAGAGATGCTCACTAAATAGTATAATAAGAGCCTAAAATATGCCGGAGCAAATTCCTGTGGGATTTGTTTTTAAAAGCTTGTGTACTAAGGGAACAAAGGTGCTGCACCTGTGGTGTCCATCCATGTGTGTGTCATCCTACTCCAACAATGTGTCAACCACTGGTCAGCTTCAACTAACACCTGGAAGCTGACCCCATTTCCACCACTTTCAAAGGAAGTAACAGAGGGAGGCACAAACATCTGTGCCCTGAGCAAGGGAAATGGCTGGCAGAGACCAGTGGTGGTGAAAGCTGGTCTGTGTGACATGGGGCTGGCCGTGCTCAGCCCAGCTCAGAGAGCCCAGCAGCACCAGTGAGTGCCCCTGCACAGCTCGTGGTGAGCGTGAGGACCCAGCCTCTCAGCATGGTCGGGGTGAAGGATGTGCTCCTTACAGGACTCGTGGAGCTTGTACACTGTGTACTACTACAGAAACAGTCCTTATTACCTGAGTCTAAGCCCTGCTGTTGAACATTCCCCCTTCAGGGAAGCACAGGAATTTAGCCTCCTGAAGGGACAGCTGAGGTCAACAAGCATCCCCTTCTTCAGAGCCAGCAGCTATCAGTGGTATACAAGGTCACACACCTAAGAAAAGACTTTGTTTAGCATGCGCACTTCCCATTGACTTCTCAGACCATTAAATCACTGTTTTCATGCTATGCTTGTACACATCATTCTGAAATTCAGGCTGCCCAAAGGGCTTTAGGTTCAGTGAATAGCAGAGTGTCCATCACACACTAAAGGGCTGATGTGTTTCCAGCAGCTCACAAGCCACCTCCTGATGCTGGGATGACCCCATGGGGTGGAGGGTGCCCCCAGCTCTTTGTTCTGCTCCCCTTTCAGGACTCTGCCTGTAAGACACTTGTTTCTGAGAGACTCTTTTGTCTCTTGAGTGTTCAGTTTGGAGGCATCGTCGGCTGTGGGCTGAAACTGCACTGCCTGCCTGCCCAAGGCCATGGGGAACTGGATTCTGACCTCTCAACCCTTCATCACAAATACTTAATGGCAGGATTCAGCATCTGGAAGGCTTCCTCCAGCACTAACAACCCAGTGAACTTTGCAAACCCGAAAAAAGTCAAGCAAGCCAACCATTCCAGCATCTCCCTTCACTGCATCTCTCCAGAAGATAAATACTGAGGCCAAAGGCATATCCGTCCTTTTTAATAGGTAGAAATAAATTGAATTTTCACAAGCTTTACTAACTGTAAATTAATTTTAGAATTAATCAGGAAATGAGATATACTGTAAGTCAGTAAATTCTGAAGAAAAATCTATTTGGACCAGGATAACCTCAGTGTCCTTCTGAGTGGCCCTCTCCTCAGTGATTACTCAGCAGATACTCTCTCCTTGCTTCCCAGCACCTGCTGCTCTCAGAAGGAGTTCTCCTGCCCATCTGCCTTCAAACCTGACGTGGTGACACAGACAAATGCAACTGTAAGCAATGTCTGAACTCCAAATCCAATCACCAATTTGCTTCCTTAGCAAAACTGAAAAAAATCCAAAACCAAACAACACAAAAAAAGAGCATGTGCTTGTTTCTAACCACCTGGCCCACTGGAAAAGGAAACTTCACATATGGAAACAGCAATACTTTTCCCAAAGAAAACTATGGCAACAAGAATTCTAGGCATACACAAAAATAGTTACCTGGACCATCACCTAATCCACAGGATGTGCAATTATTTTAAACTAGTGTTTCTGAAACCTGGTTTCACAGAACTTCTCACTAATTTCAGATTATTCTATTAAAATGAATTATAATTTCACATGAAAGAAACCCTGGCCCTAGTTTCTAATAAACTCCTTGTCCTTGTCCACCTATTCACCACAAATAGAAACAAACTCCTGCAGGAAGACAGGAGCCTTTGGCAATAACCAGCCAACTTCTGAACAAGCCTATTTTTTGCCATTTACATATTTAATTACATACTAGCCTCCAAGCAGCTAGAAGCCCCATGTTCCTTTTTTGTATAGTTTGTTTCTTGTGAATACACATAGAGCACAAACCCAAACCACATTAATGATAACCTTGTTAAATATAAACTAGTGTGCAATTATACAAACTGCTAACACAAACAAAAAAGCCAGGGAACTCTGATTATATGTTCACAATGGTTTCTGAAAACCAAATAAAAATAACAACATAGGGCAACCTGTCTTGCCTGACACTGTAACAGAAAAAGATTTCACATTATAACTTACGGGTCTCAGCACACAGGACTAGTCTGTCAAACAACTCCTCAAACTCAATTTCAAGCTCACTCGCTGCAAGGAGAGCAGAAGGGTGGGAGGAAAGGCAGCCAGTGCACATGTGAACTACGAAAAAAAATCTGATTTTCCTCTCTGCATCATCCTTCACATGAGCTAATGCCTGTCCCTAGGCAGGTGCTGTGACTTTCACCCTGTCACCCTGAGAAGGGCTGGCTGTGTGCTAGGGATTTGGCTCCTTCCTCTCCATTAAGAGAGCAGCAGAAGGGCTGCTCGAACCCTCTGTTCTTGGGTTTGTGCCAGCCCGGTGCATGCCTGCGATTTAACTTCAGTGCAGCCACGGGTGAGCCCAGCAACCAGAGCTCCTACCACACCTTTTCATTAAGAAGATGAGCCACTAACATTCTGTGCAAGCTCTGTGGTCTTGCAGCTGCCCGTTCCTGGTGTTTAAAAATATATCCTTTTTCCACAACAGAAACAGATCTATTGAAGGCAAACTCTGCCCTGGACTGCACATGTGCAGCATCACGACAGCCAGCAAAGGTGGGGAACATTACCCAGAGCTCCCCCACACCAGGGTCAGCCTTTAGCAAGTGCTACAATGGAGAGACTCATTCTTCTCAGTGGAGTAATGCAAACTGAATCTAGCTCTGAAGAAAACAAAACAGTGTGAGAAAACCGGCACTTTCCTTGCAGCCTGCATCACAAGCAAAAATATGGCACAAATGACAGCCGCTACAGGACTAGAGGAGCATCCTGGAAAGGTTTCCTTAGGTGACTTCTTTTGCCATGGACTTGGGTTATCCATTCAGTTCGTTTGCATGCTAGCAGCACAGCTGAACTTGCCAGACTCTGGATTTCTAGGTTGTAAACAAGAACAGTAATTACCTTTCCCTCTTAAACTACACTCTGTTCTCATGCAATTGAAAAAAAAAAAAAAAACAACCAATGGGTTGTGGAAGGAAACGTTCAGAAAGTGGGAAAAAGGAGCAAGGGGAAAAAATGACTGGAGTAGAGTAGAGTGATACTAGTAGATCCGGTAGAGTGATACCAGTGAGATCTAAGTATCCTACCCAGAACCAAGCACAGCATAAAAGCATGCAAGAAACAAAAACCAAGGATGATCCCTGGGAATCAAGAAAAGTAATACTGGAATACTGCATCAATAATGAATTCACTAAGTAGAAGGTCGAGAAGAACCCAGTCTCCTGAATGCTAAGTTCAAGAGTAAGAAAGCAATTCCCAAATCATGGTCTGTGGGTCACTTCTCCCCCACAAGGCTGTGGGCAGAATCACATCACAGAATGAAATGCAGGAGTGTGAGCGTGTGTGTGACACAGCTGTGCAGTTGATCCACAGAGCAATTAAAGGGTTGTCACTGCAGAAAATGTTTTGAGAGACACATGCCTGGGAGCAGAAGGGTGGTAACTCACCAGCAGGCATTCTGCTTGGGAAGGTGCGGCTCCCTCTAGCACAGCACCTGAAAAGGGGTTCAAAAAAGCCACCAAAACAACCCAGATGGAAGGGGAGGAAAAAAAAAAAAAAAAACCAAAAAAAACAAAAAGGGGGGGGGGGGGGGGGGGGGGAACAACCAACAGTGGGGCATGCAGCTAACATAACTTTCCCCTGGAATACTTCCAATTTCTCCAAGCTGGTTGGTTTTGAAAGGGACTTTTCTCCAGCGATCTATGCTCAATTACCCTTATAAACCCTTGCAATAACATGTGACTCAAAGTCTACCTATTTGTCCAAGGGAGAAACAAGGAGGGAGTGTGGCAAATGGGGAATGTGGGAGTGGCTGCCGATGTGGGCTTGGGGAGCACAGTCATTTCCTCCAGCTTCTTCCCCCCCTCCGTCTTTGATATCTGAGTATGTTGTTGAGGAAGTAAAGGAAGATGATTTTGTATCCACAGGCATTCACACATTTTTACATGATTGCACCTTCTTAGCCAGAAGTCTCAGCTTGAGAGCTGAAGCAGGTGAGGTTGCTCCTCCCGGAATTAAAAGGCAAAAGAGTACCCGGTGGCAAGAAACGACCCAGAGGAACAAAGTGCTTGGAGATAAACAGCTTATTTAGGGTGGTAGCGAGACGCTGCTTAAACCATGCGCTCGCATCGTAATCCGTGGATTTCGATGCAAAGACTTCATTCCCCCTTGTGGGCTACCAGACCTGGCTACAGCTCACTTGACTCAGAGCCGCTTCCCAGCCTGCTGTCCTACAGGACAGGCAGCACGGCGGGCTGAATCCACCACCGGTCGGGAGAGCGGGGTGACAGCCGGGGCGCAGCTGGGCTGGGCTGCAGCGGGCACGGCGGCTGTGCGGCCGCACCGCTGAGCGGGAGAGAAACTTTCAGCCACTCGCGCCCAGGCGGGACCGACCGACAGACCGGCTGCTGCCGCCCGGGAGGCTCGGGCACCTCCGCGGACCTGCCCCTGCACGCTCGCACATCCCCGCAGCTGCCGCTGCTCCCCGGCCGGACGGCAGCAGAGCCGGCCCCGCGGAGGGAAGCTCCCGCCCCGCGGCTATCGGGCCTCCCTCCCCACGGCTTCCCCCGGCCGCCCGGCCGCCGTGCCCACCCTTACGGAGCCCATCGCCATCCCGCGCATCCCTTATCCCCGCATGCCGAGCATCCCTCATCCCCGCGGCGCTGCTTACCGGGACCGCTGCAGCTCGAAGGCGGCGGCGGGGCCGGGCTGCCCCAGGTCTCCGCTGCCGCCGATGCTGCCCTGGGGGCTGGTGCGGCCGAAGGGCGCCGGCAGCACCCCCGCCGTGAAGGAGTTGAGGCGGCAGCGGCTGCCCGCCGCCGCGGCGCCCAGGAAGACGGCGGGCGGCACCTGCACCGCGGCGAAGGCGTCCTCCTCCTCCTCCTCGTCTTCCTCCCGGCAGGGGCCCGGCGGCGGGACTGCCAGGGCTGGCGGCGGTGGCGGCCGCCGCCATTGTCGGCCGGCTCCCCCTCCCCTCGCCGCTGGCCGGGCGCTGCCTGTCGCTGCCGGCCCGTCAGGCGGGCGGGCGGCGGGGCATGGGCGCCGCGGTCCCTGCGGGGTGCATGGGGGTGCCGAGGGGTGCGCTCCGCCCGGCCGCGCCGCGCTGCCCCGGGCCCCCGCCGCCCGCCCGCTCCGTATTTATAGGTGCAGCAGCCGAGCCGCGGAGCGCCCTGTGCAATAACACGGCAATCACGTGTGGGAAACGGGGCGCTGGAGGAAAACAAAAGCCCGGCCAGCAGCCCGGAGGAGGAGGAGGGAGAAGGGTGGGTCTCGGCGAGCTCCCTCCTTTCAACCTCTCTTTTTTTTTTTTTTTTTTTCCTTCCCTTTCCCCCCCTTCCCTCCTCCTCCTCCTCCTCCTCCTCCTCCTCCTCCTCTTTTTCCCTTCCTGGATGCGTGGGGGCGGGCGGGAGCCGGGGAAGGTGGAGTCTGTGCCCGTAGTACTCGGCACATGGCTCTCGGAGCCCGGCACCGACCGCTCCGGACCCGGGGCTGCGGCTGGGCTCGGCCCGTCTGCGGCACCGGGAACAGCGCTGGGAGCGGCACCGGGATGCAGCCGTGCCGTGCCAAGCGGCCCTGGCGCTGCCCGCTGGTTTTCCCCGGTGGGGGCTGGCGCCCGGAGCAGGCGCTGGCAGTGCCCGATGGGCACGGAGGACAGTCGGGGTCGGGGAGCGGCCCCCGGGGATGCGCTTGAATGCCGACGGTGCCTTCTGCGATGCGGCAAACCTGGGCTGTCCCGGGTCCCTGCTGCAGTCTGAGGCGTGCGAGTGCCTCTGTGTGTGCAAGTAACATCTCACGGGTTCCCTAAAACATCGAAGCAACCTCCTCCCCAGCCTTTCCTTCAACTCCGTCCCATACCCTTCCCTCTCCAGAGAAAGCACATTTGCTTTGCTCTTTCCCAAAAGAGCATACAGCCCAAGCCCCAAATATCTGTATTCGTGTCGTCCCCAAAGTGAGGGCTGTTGAGCAGCTGACTGCAGGTCTGCAGCTGTGGCTTGCGAAGGCGGGCGGCCGGTCCACCTCAGCATGGAGCTCCTTCATTCCTTCGTTACTTTATTGTGACCAACTCAACCGTGCTATAAGCGTGCTTGTCCTGTGGTGATAATTTCATCAACGGCTTATGTAAGGGTTGGATAATAGATATATACAAACAGAGGAACATATGGTTGTCGCAAGATAGCAACATGCACTTTCTTCATAAAGCATTACAATGGCTTGTATTGCATTCCAGTTATAGCTGGTGGATGACTCACAAGCCATCCCAAACTGTCACAAAATATTGTGATGTCTCCTACAATTTTATCAAAACCTTGCTAATTTGATGATTTAAAAAAAAAAAATATTGATCAGAAAGGAGAAGCTGATCCCATTGTTAGAGGATGCTATGGATCCAGGTATGTGTTCCTCTCAAGAGTGATATTTTGAACATTCAAAGATCTGAAGATTGTGCTCTGTGACCTGGATTTACTTCTGAACCTTTGGCCTCTACTGAGTACCACAACCCCCAAATTTAGGCACCAAGTCTCTGGGGTGTGCTGCCTTTTTTGTAAGGGACACTGCATGGGCAGCATCCTGAGCAAGAGCAGTGAGGAAGGGAAGGGGAAATGATGGAGGAAAGAGATGTTTTCCAGATCACACCTTCTTAGAGAGGTAGGTGAGTGCTGTTTTGAGATGGACATTCTCATTTCAGTCTGCTCTCTTGAGATTTATACTGATTTTGTATTTCTTACCAGAGGGTACTTCTGTGCCCGTCCCTGTGGCACGTCAAGGATGATCATTTGGATGGAAAGTGAGTAGGGCAGAGTACTGAACTCTCCTCCCCAGAGAAAAGGCCTAACTGACATGTCCCATCTATTGGAAAGATGCTCTGTACCCCTGTGGTTGCAAAGTGGTTCCTTCAAACTTCCATTTTGGAGAGGAAGGCTGAGGAATTTCAGGCCTGCCACCTTCATTTGATGACAATGCTTTTTTCTGACCAAAGGCATTGTCCCTGCAGTGGCAGCCAGTGAGATGTCAGGGCACTGATACACTTGGCTCCTGTGGAGGAGTTCCAGGCTTCTTTCCCCACTTCCAAAAGAGTTCAGGACTTTTTGGAGGAGGACTCCTGAGTCACAGATTCTGTAGCCTGGCAGTTGGTATGTTACTGAATGCTGACCCCTGGTCCAGGGACTACAACCAAATGGTAAATAGGTCATGGAACTCAGGCCTCCCACCTTAGAACTGAGTAAGGGAGACACTGGGATATTTTTTTCCTCTTGCATTTCTGAGGGGCAGAAGCAACAGAGTGTGTATTTTCCTCTGGAGCTCAAAACCTCTGTATGGCAACCGAGTGCTGGTGTATATTTGCCGAATTCAGCTTCTCACAGTACACAGGTCTGGGAAAGAGAGCCACCACCAAAATGCCAGAGGGGGTTCCAGAGGTTGGTTAAACTTAGGACATTTTTTATGAGTGCAGAAGTGTGCACTCCTTTCACAGGATTACTCTTGTGAAGAGATAAATTCCTATCTGTTGGAAGCATTATTTTAAATGAAGCCACAGCCTCTGTTTTAGAGCTCCTCCACAGCTGACCCAGAGGCAAATGTTAGCCCTTCCCTTGTCCACGTGTGCATCTGAATGATTTTGGCACCGGAATTCTACAAAATAATTTTTTACAGTCTCTGCCATCAGGAACACTTATGTGAATGGTTGAGCCTATCAACCTCCTTGCAGCAAAATTAGAGTGGTCAGGATAGAGTGTAGGTCTTTCCAGGCCTGGCTCATCCAGCTGAACTCACTTTGTCCCTTTGCAAAGTGCTTGTCTGTGCCCACCAGCCTAAATACTCCCATGGAACCAAACAGATGCTCTGGTCTAATATGCACAAACTGCCTCTGGAGGATACTATCTTTTCCAAAAATCACACTGAAGGTTGGTTAAAACATCTCTTCAATTGCAAGTGAAAATAAACCCATTTGAGAAAGCTACGTACAAGAAGAAAATTACTTTTCCAGTCTGAAGTGAAGCTATTTTTGATAATGAGTGGGGTACCACAGTACAAAGATAATTGGCACGTTTGAAATACCCGGTTCTCTAGAACTATTTATACATTTAGTAGCACATTTAAATTAATGTGCACAACATAATATGAATTTTTTTCCAGTTACTTATGTCCTCTTGATCTGTGCTTAGCAAAACTTTAGGTGATATCATGAGCTATAGAAGTCCTGTGTGCTGGAGGATATATGAAAATGTTTAAAAAATTGATTTTGCTGGTTGAAACTTTTTTGTTTGATGGAGTAGCAGTGGTTGGCTGGAGGAAATAGCAAAGTTGAAAGGAAAACCAAAAAGGCACATTCTGGAAGCTTGCTTCTGTGACTGTTTTTCCAATCATTTCCTTCTCCAAGTTCTCTTCCAACCAACCAGCTCTACCCAAGTGCAAGTAAATGTTTTTATTTCAGAGGTCACAGGCTTATGTAAGCGGTTAGATGACAAATGGTAATGGGAGTGATGGAGCATGATGGCTTTTTCACCCACTGCACCAAGACCTGCAAGAGAGACTCATCATTGTGGGTGTTCAGAGGCGGCATGGAATTTGGGGATCCTGTTAACACAGGTGATGGAGAGGCTTTCTTTGTAGAGATTGAAGAGGGTGGAGAGAGTTTGAACAAAACCAAAAGCTCGGCAGTTTACCTTTCTGAAGAATGGGATTAGAGAAACAGTGCCTCTACATACCTGCCCTCAGAGGAAAGTTAACACATGTGGAGAATCCTCATGTTGTCTTTAGTTTAGTTTAACTGGTGTGGGTGCAGTCCTGCTGCAAGGCGAGTGTGTGGCCAGCAGGATGCGAGAAGCCAGTCAGAAAGGACACAGACCTTAGACCTTGAGCTGAAGTTGGGGTCCTGAGTAGTTTGTCAGGCCAAGCTTAAAAATATCTTTGCAGATGAGTTGAAAACTTCATACAGAATTTGAGTTAGAGGCAAGATTTGTGTTATACTGAGAGTTAACTCTGTGGGAATAACTGGTCCTGAGTCACCAGCGTGAGTCACCAGGCTAGTTCTTGAGTGGCCTCTGCATAGTGTTTGCCTGCTTTGGGGACAAAACCAAGTCTCTTATTGTCACTGATACTTGTTAGAGCTGCAGGACCTAGTCAGCTAGGGGAAGGAAGAGTAAATGCAATTGTTAGTTGTAATTTTAACAGTCTTGTTTTCTGAATGTCAGGCTCAGGTAATGCTGTTATGCAAAGTTCAGCAAAGATGTCTGGTGATAGTGCTCCTGTAGGTGAGAAGAGAGATCATTATTACCAGTGGTCTTGGATATCACTATCAGATCCCCATAGCCAGGCAGAGTGTAGCCTGTGAGAACTCTAGTCTTGCTGTGCAAGACTTTGGAGAAACAATCCAAATCCAATCTTTATAAATACTTTCTTTTTCCTTTACTTTGCAGAAGAGAATTGCACTTCAAAAGGGGAAAGCAGTTGTAACATTGGAGAAAGATTTGGAATGTGAATTTAATAATCCTTCTGTTTAGGAGTGTCTGGCAGAAAAAAAGTTGGGGGAGTTGGAACAAATTTCACTGAGAGCCATAGTTAAGAATGGAAATTGGATAAAGACAGTAAAAATTCTTTACAAAAGACTAATACTGCATCTGGATAGCAAGACCTGTTTTAGTGCCAGGCCCAAACCTTCAGTCTGTTGTAAATTTAGCCTGATTCTCGGAAATGCTAAGTGCTTGTGCTTTTCACTGGTGATTTTTGAGGAGCCTGAATGTTTTGCTTGTTAAGGGTCACCTTTGCTAATTGAAATGTAGAATTTTGACACTAAGAAGAGTGTCACCTTCTTGGAAAAGCAGTGTTCCTTGGGTAGGATTGGTCCACGCTTGCCTCTCTGTGCAGAACCTAATTTTGCTTGCATCATTTCAGGGTAGGTCCCAACATCACCAAGCTGACATGAAACCAAATTCAAATACAGTAGTGGGAAAGTGACAGAAATCTGTGGGCACCGACCATCATGGTTGGAGGGCAGTGTGTGACTGTGGGGCAGGACCCAGAGATAGAAGCAGGTGCCCTCAGCCAAGATGAAACAGTGTCTCCTCAGATCAGCTGAGGTGTGGATGGTCAGGGCACCCAGCCTGCCAATTATTTTGGTTGTCAGAGGTGTGGCATGCATGGTGTTTGTGTTTGTGTTGAAGAGTTCCTGAGATCATCAGTAAGCTGGTAGTGCACACACAGGTGGTAGAATTTAGGGCATTCTAGTTAAGTCAAAACTGGCCTCTGTATCATTACTCCAACTTACTGCACCTTCACTAAGTATACTTAATATTTTTCATTGCTAGATCCATGCTAGATCCGATTCAGGCCAAGCTTTTCTTGGAAAACTGGTCAAAAACTGATTGTGTGAGCTCCAAGGGCAAGACCATGAAAAACATACGCATGCAAACGGCAGGGGGGCTGAGGGCTTGCACATCCAGCATGAATTTCTCCTCACTTCTTTCTTGCATCCTTGAATTTTTGAAGTTCCTCATTCAACTTAAGCTGGGTTTGTGGTTTTTTGTTGTTGCTGCTGTTGTCTTTCCACTTTATATACTATTGGATCCCTTAAAGACCCACACTACACCTGAAGCTCCATTTTACTGGGTGCTGCTAAAATACTCTCCCATGTCTCAGTGAGCTTGCAGGATAACTAGACAAAACAAGGAAGGTGGCCATGTAGGAACTGCGTAGGAATGTGGCTGTTGCTGGCTCCTACTGGCTTCTACTAGAGTGATTAAATGGGAACAGGGCCACGTAGCTCCTCCCTCCCTTGAAAAACAAAAACT